GACGGATTTTTGGTATCACCTGGCAGGACAAAGTTCCAAATAGAGAAGTCCTAGAACGAGCTGGAATTGTTAGCATATGTACATTACTGAAACAGCGACGTCTACATTGGTTTGGGCACGTTGTGAGAATCGCTGATGGTCAGATTCTAAGGGATCTCCTATATGGAGAACTAGTGCAGGGAAATTGCCCCAGAGGGAGACCACAGCTGCGATACAAGGACATCTGCAAGCGGGATCTGAAGGCTTTAGGAATGGACCTCAACAAATGGGAAACCCTGACATCTGAGTGTTCAGGCTGGAGGCAGGTGTTGCATCACAGCCTCTCCCAATTTGAAGAGACCCTTGCCCAGCAGGCCGAGGCAAAGAGAAAGTCCCAAAACCAGCAAAATCAGGGAGCTGGGCAGGGGACAGATTGGATTTGTCTTCAGTGTGGAAGGGATTGTCACTTTTGAATTGGCCTCCTCAGCCGCACTAGACACTGTTCCAAGTCCTCTATACAGAGCACGTTACCATAGTCTTTCGAGACTGAAGGATGCCTAACCTAACCTGTGGTAGTCTATTATTCAGACATCACAATGATAAAATTGTTGTGGATTCATATGTGTTACAATATGTACAATTTCTTTAAAGCAAAGTAAAAGCAAAGTGTGTTGCTTATATACCATCCCATAGTGCTTAAAGTACTCCCTTGATGCTTTAATTGTTTTATGCTGACAGATCAGAAATTTTGAAACCTTTTCTTCAGTAAATTAAAGTAGTGGGCAGAGTGAAACTGATTTCTCTCTAGAAGGTTTCCAGCCTTTTGCACACATTAAATTCTGATCCAGAAAATTGGGGGACCCTTTGGAGTATATTTAGAGGAACTCCAGGAAATCATAGGAGGAAACTCATATTGCTGTCTGTTCTACTGATTGAAGCCTTATATCATTTGAGCAAAGTATGTATTATCGATTGTATAGGGGAGGGGTCTGTAATATTGATTTTCAGGTTTTTTGAGAATCAACATTAGTGCATATTCTGCAGTGTGTATTGGTAGAATAACTCACCTGTTTTTCACCAAACTGTTTTTACTTTGAGTGATGCTGGGAAAACTTTCATATGGCACATAGATGTGGAACATATAGACCTGCAAATGTTGTTGGGAGTACAACTACCTGACCCCCTCATTGGCAGCGTTGTGTAGGGCTGATGCGCATTTTAAGAGCAGTTTAGATCTTACCACTCTTCTGTTTTGCTACTGATTTTACTTTGATTTCATACACTATAGTGTTTTTATACTTTACTCATTATGTGTTGACTTTATGTGTTATGCTTAGTAATTTCTTCATTTGTATTTGTATTTTTAATATGTTGTATACCACCTTGATATTGAGTAAGTACAATACATGTGTGAATGAATAAAATTGTGGATACTTGGAACTAGAGTATAGTGTCCTCAAATGAGGATTTTTCATCTGAAACTGTTATTGCCCACATATTTACAGAAGGCTGCAGTTTGGAACTCCATTTTTGTAAGCATAATTATATACCTTTATTTATTTATAGAGAAGGATGGTAACTAGTTTTTCAGAACACTGCGGAATCAATTCCCCAAGCATCTCTATTAAAACAAAAACATAGCACTTTGGTAGCCTGGTTGAGAGATACTGCTGTGTGAAAGAGGCTTACCTATTTTTATTTTATTTTATTTTTCTGATAAAAGCTGTGGTGCCGTTGCTAACAGTTTTGTCAGAATAAAAGAAGTGGCTTGTATTGACTGATTGCAATGTACAGTGGATGTAAAAAGTTTACACACCCCTGTTAAAATGTCAGGTGTCTGTGATGTAAAAAAAATGAGACAAAGATAAATCATTTCAGAACTTTCTGCACCTTTAATGAGACCTATGAATTGTACAACTCAGTTGAATAACGAACGAAAATCTTTTAGGTGGAGGGAAGTAAAAATAAAAACTGAAATAATATGGTTGCATCTGTGTACACACCCTTAAATTAATACTTTGTCACAGTACCTTTGGATTGTATTACAGCACTCAGCCTTTTGGGGTATGAGTCTATCAGTATCACAAATGTTGACTTGGCAAGATTTGCCCACTCTTCTTTGCAAAAACGCTCCAAATCTGTCAGATTGCAAGGGTGTCTCCCGTGCACAACCCTCTTCAGATCACTCCACAGATATTCAATCGGATTCAGGTCTGGGCTCTGGCTGGGCCATTCCAAAACGTTAATCTTCTTCTGCTGAAGCCATTCCTTTGTTGATTTGGATGTATGTTTGAGTCATTGTCAGGCTAAAAGATGTTCCTCCTCATGTTCAGCTTTCTAGCAGAAGCCTGAAGGTTTTGTGCCAATATTGACTGGTATTTGGAACTGTTCATAATTCCCTCTACTTTGACTAAGGTCCCTGTCCCAGCTGAAGAAAAACAGCCCCAAAGCTGATGCTGCCACCACCATGCTTCACTGTGGGTATGATGTTCTTTTGATAATGTGCAGTGTTGTTTTTGCGCCGAACGTATCTTTTGGAATTAGGGCTGAAAAGTTCAACCTTGGTTTCATCAGACCATAACACTTTTTCCCACATGCTTTTGGGAGACTTCAGATGTGTTTTTGCAAAATTTAGCTGGGCTCGGATGTTTTTATTCATAAGAAAAGGATTCCGTCTTGCCACTCTACCTCATGGCCCAGACATGTGAAGAATATGGGAGATTGTTGTCACATGTATCACACAGCCAGTACTTGCCAGATATTCCTGCAGCTCCTTTAATGTTGCTGTAGGCCTCTTGACAACCTGCCTGACCAATTTTCTTCTACGTAGTCTTTTCATCAATTTTGCAGGGACGTCCAGTTCTTGGTAATGTCACTGTTGTGGCATATTTTCTCCATTTGATGATGACTGTCTTCACTGTGTTCCATGGTATATCTAATGCCTTGTAAATTCTTTTGTACCCTTTTCCTGACTGATACCTTTTAACAATGAGATCCCTCTGATGCTTTGGAAGCTCTCCGCAGACCATAGCTTCTGCTGAAGGATGTGATTAAGAAAATGCCAGGAAAGCACAGCTGATGTTTATTTGGGATTCCTCAGAGGCACTTTAAATGATGGCAGGGGTGTACTGACTCCTACTTAACATGAGTTTGAATGTGATTGTTTACTGCTGAACACAGCTACATTCCCAGTTATAAAAGCGTGTGCACACAGATGCAACCATATTATTTCAGTTTTTTATTTTTACTTCCCTCCACCTAAAAGATTTCAATTTGTTGTTCAACTGAGTTTTAGGTCTCATTAAAGGTGGAAAAAGTTCTGAAATGATTTATCTTTTTCTCATTTTTTTATATCACAGACACTTGACATTTTAACAGAGGTGTGTAAATTTTTTATATCCACTGTAAGTGCAAAGTCTCCTTTTTAATATAATATGCTTGGATATGTGTATTCTTTTTAAAAGAATATGGGATCTGTTTAATAGCTGTTTAATAGCCCGTTCTGGATTAATCGTCGCTATGCAAAAACATCGCTAAACGGAACGTAAAACGCCATAGGAATGCATTAAACTTCATTTAATGCGTTCCTATGGCTCCAGAACTCACCGTTCAGCGATGTTCCTCCATAGCGCCGCCATTTTCGCGCCCTCGGTAAACGAGGGTAGGACGCGAAAACACTTACAGCGGCCATTTTGGGCACCCGGCCGCCATTTTGGAACCGCCGTTCATCTGTTTAAAAAAAAATCGCAATGCGGAGATCGGTAAGGCAATGCGATGTTTTGCCTATACAGAACATCGCAATGTGATCGCATTAGCGATCTAAAAAATTAGATCGCTATGCAAATTCATCGTTAAACGGTGCGCTCGTTATGCGAGGCACCACTGTACTGGAAAACTGGCCTTATGTAAATTACAATTGTAAATGTCTTCATTATTGTTGTAATAATTTCAGTCAAGATTTTATGAATTAAGGAGTTATACTGAGTTAGCTAAAATTCTACTGGAAAAACAGTGTTCCAAGCAGAAAGCCTTATTTGCATTTGCATGGGTTGTGCTATCTTACTCCGTACCTTTCTTCAGTGCTTCTCCCACCATATTCCATCACTCTAGAAGATTCCCTGAAATGGTTTTTTTGGAGGTCATCAGGAGCCAAAAGAGAAAGGATGATGGGAATATCCCAGGAAGTGTAACACAGTTCTTTGGATCTAAGGAACAATGGGACTGTCCATATAAGTGAAATCTAAAAACTACATATTCTAAAAATGACATTGAAACCATCTTTCTCCCCATGCTATAGAAACTAGTGCTTGGTCTCATCCAGGCTGGGTTATTTAGTCCATTGGTTGTAGGAAGAAAAATTTTGGAGTTTGGAATTTTTTGTCCTTACTCCCTTCTGTTTGAATAGGCTCAATAGAAAATGAAATTTGGGTATGTTTGTTTGGGATGAAGGCGGTGTGAGTAACAATTAACAGTCTACTCTGTATGATTTACTAATGTAGATATATGCAGGATTAATACAAATGAAGCTGAGAATTTTTATTTGTATTCGTACTGTATAAATTCTGTTTTCACCTGTTATTCACAGTTTAAGTGGTCTGAAATGACTGACATAACTAGAACAGATAGTTTACGTGCTGTTCTTTAGAGGTTTTGGCATCATTACTACTACTTACTTGGAAGCTTTCGCCATCTGCCATCTGAGCCTGATATAGCTAGTAGAAAGATGTTGCAGAGGTTTGTACATGAGTAATCATTACATTTACTGTTAAACAGGCTTTAAAGATTCGTCACTGTTACCTGATACTGCAGGAGAAGAATCTGAGAAGACAAGAGAAAATACTGGGTGTGATTTCATGATGTAAGTTTTTTTCTTTGCATGAGTTGCATGTTAGCTGGCAAAGCTGTTGCTATGGAAACAAACATTCAGCTCCAGAGAGTGCCAATGGAATGCTAATCTGGTATAAATGAAAAGTTCCAGCTGCTTCCCGAAGGTGGGGAGGCATGAAAGAAAAGGCTTAAGAAGTGAAACCACATTCCATTATTTTAGTATCTACTCAGTCCTGGCACCATTATTTTTTATCAGGAGCAAGTACTGAAATCGCTATAAATAAAATTATTCATAAAAGACATGTACACTAATTAAAAGACTTCTATTAGTATGTTTGGATCTCGCTGCTCTTAATATTTCTAGTGATGTGTTATCAACTGGCTAGTGAGAATAAGTTAGGAAAAGAGTCCTTAACAGCTAATGCTAAGAAACTAACTGGTCTCAGTACTCTGTTGGTATAAAGAAAAACAAATTCTATACTTCCCTCTTCATCGTTATTGTTTTTGGAGTGATTTTGGAGTCATTTTGCTCTGGTTTCATCTCTCTGCTTAGCGTTGTAGGGAAGCTGCTTGCCCGTGTTGTGCTGAAGAGACTCCAGGTGCTTGCAGACAGAGTCTATCCAGAATCACAGTGTGGATTTCGAGCTAATAGATCCACCACTGACATGGTATTCTCCCTCAGACAGTTGCAGGAGAAATGTAGGGAACAACAGCCACTCTTTGTGGCCTTTATAGATCTTACAAAGGCCTTTGATTTGGTTAGCAGGCACGGCCTTTTTAAAATCCTTCCTAAGATTGGATGTCCACCTCAACTTAACATCATCAGGTCCTTTCATGAGGAAATGAAGGGCAGTGTAGTTTTTGAAGGCTCAACATCAGATCCCTTTGACATCCGAAGCAGAGTGAAACAGAGCTGTGTCCTTGCGCTGACCCTGTTTGGGATCTTTTTTGCTGTCATGCTGAGGCACGCCTTTGGATTTGCGACAGAAGGTGTCTGTCTCCAGACTAGACCAGATGGAAAGCTCTTTAATGTCTCTAGATTGAGAGCAAAGACTGAGAGCGAAGACCAAAGTCCAGCTGAAATGCACATGGGACTTCCTCTTCGCCGATGATGCAGCTGTTGTTGCCCACTCTGCTGAAGACCTCCAACAACTCATGAATCGCTTTAGCAAGTCCTGCCAAGACTTTGAATTAACAATCATCCTGAAGAAAACACAAATCATGAGCCAGGGCCTAGACTCACCTCCCTCTATTACCATCTTCATGCAAGAACTGGAGGTTTTTCATGACTTTGTGTATCTTGGCTCAACGATCTCTGACACTCTCTTCCTAGATGTCGAGCTGGATAAATGCATTGGCAAAGCAGATACCACGTTCTCTAGATTCAAAAAGAGAGTATGGATTAATAAGAACCTGAAGGCATATACCAAGATCCAGGTCTATAGAGCTTGTCTTCTGAGCACACTCCTGTACTGCAGTGAGTCCTGGACCCTCGAATTTTTAGCATGTATACTTTATTTATTTTATTAATTTAATTTATATGCCGCCCACACAACCCGAAGGTCTCTGGGCAGCTTACAACATTTAAAATACAATAAAAAGGCAGAATAATTAAAATCCAGTTAAAATATATACTCTAAAAATTGCCATCAGACCAACAGCTGATATTATTTCGATTAAAAGCCTTCTGGAACAGCGATGTCTACGTTGGCTTGGGCATGTCATGAGAATGGCTGATGGTCAGATTCCAAAAGCTCTCCTGTATGAAGAATTAGTGCAGGGAAAGCGCCCCAGAGGGAGACCATAGCTGCGATACAAGGATATCTGCAAGCAGGATCTGAAGGCCTTAGGAGTGGACCTCAACAGATGGGAAACCTTGACATCTGAGCATTCAGGCTGGAGGCAGGCGGGGCATCATGGCCTGTCCCATTTTGAAGTGACACTTGTTCAGCAAGCTGAGGCAAAGAGGCAATCCCAAAACCAGCAAAATCAGGGGGCTGGACAGGGGGCAGACTATGTTTGTCTTCAGTATGGAAGGGATTGTCACTTTTGAATTGGCCTTCTCAGACACACTGGATGCTGTTCCAAGTCCTCCATACAGAGCATGTTACCATAGTCTCTTGAGACTGAGGGATGCCTGGTCTTTGCTGTGGTTTATTACAAAGTATTTCATTTTACGTTTAATGCTTGGGAATCTTCAGTAATGACTTTTTCTTTCTGCAACAAATTATATCATATGTACAGTGGTGCCTCGCATAGCGATGATAATCGGTGCAGCAAAAATCGCTGCAAAGCAATTTCGTCATGCGATTTTAAAAAGCCCATAAGAATGCATTGAAACCCCTTCAGTGCGTTCCTATGGGCTTCAGACTCACCTTTAAATGAAAATCCTCCATAGGGCAGCTATTTTCGCTGCCCGGTAAGTGATAAATCCATCCCAGAAAACAGCAGGCGGCCATTTTTTTTAACCTGGCAGCCATTTTGGAACTGCCGGTCAGCTGTTAAAAAATCATTGCTTTGCGATGATCGGTAAGCAAAACAGGGTACTGATCATTGCAAAGTGATTTTTGCCCATTTAAAACATCGCAATGCGATGATTTTGCGATCGCAAAATCTTCATCGCTATGCGATTTCATAGTTAAACGGGGCACCCATTAAGCGAGGCACCACTGTATTAACTGCGTAAGCAAAATTCCTTTTCTTCAAAGTCTGAATTAATTCACTTAAGATTAATAACATGCAAATCACAGAGGGGGGGAGACAAGAGTCAGGTGAAAAAGAAGTACACTCTCTTTGAATTCTGTGGTTTCACGTATCAGGATATAATAAAAGTCATCTGGTCCTTAGCTGGTCTGAAAATTAGGTAAATACAACCTCATATTACACCATGTCATGATTTATTTTTGCATGTGGAAGAATTTGCATTGTAGGCAAATTTATATATTTTATTTTATTTTATTTACTCACTCACTCACTCTTTATCCTGCCTATCTAGCAAAATCTCTACTCTGGGTGATGTAACAAAAAAAACATAAATTATAAAATCAACTATAGAAGACTAAAACTATCCTTATAAGACAAGAAAGTTAGCAAAATCAAGGTTACACAGAATACCATATGCCTCTCCTTCTTTTTCCTCTGTTCCTATTAATTAGTAACAACCTCCTTTAAACCTTCCCTTAAAAGCTGTTTTTAGTAGCTTTTTTAAGATGCAAAGGGAGGGTCCCTGACATAACTGCTGTGGTAGAGCATTCCATAAAGAGGGCACAGTGGCTGAGAATTAACACTTTTCAGGCCTCTCAAGGTGTCAACAATTGTAGGCATGAAGTCTGTGAGGGCCAGGATAGACAGGCTGCCAGCTTGGCAGAGGATGTTCAGACAAGTAAACAAGGTCTCAAACCATTTAGAATTTTAAATGTTAGAATAGAGCCCCATGTGGAGTGCATTACAGTAGTCAATGTTTGAGACATAACACTATGTGGAGCAATATTGTTAGGGACTTGTCACTGCGATATTACTTGGCTTGTTCTTGTTCTCTAGCGCTTGCCAGGGCTATTACAAACTTTAGCTTGGAAATAACTACGTGGACTACAAAGGTAGAATATATGCATCAGTACAAAAGCTTGTTTTTTATAATGTCAAACCATCATTTGGTGTTGTGTGTGAATTAAATTAATGGTAGCACAGTTTCTGAGAACTTGTAGTGCTTATTTCATATTTCAGTACAGTATGTCTGGGAAATTGTAACGGATAGAAATTTAATGATGGGGTGATTTAATGATGAAATTATTTGCATTAATAGAGACTGTTCCTTGATCCTTCAGAAAATGCGTACAAATACCCAAAGACTGCCCAGTAGTGGAACTCTGTGCAGCAAAAACTATTTTTCCCCATCTTTTTTTTTTTTTTTTTTTTT